AGTTCTCCTCTGCCCTGTGCTCCTGAAACACCTCAGTAAAGCACCTTGGCAATGCCCCTGTGGAGAGTGGCTTGGAGTTCTAGGAGTGTGGCCCTGGCCGAAGGCAGGCACTGTCCCAGCATTGCACCCCAGACCCGCTCTGTCCTTGGTCACATTCACACAGAAACGTGAACGAACAGCAACAGAAAATGGCCTCAGAACAGAGGGACCAGCAGTTTTGCCCAGGAAGATTTGGGAGATGTTATTTATTGTGGTCACCATTAGTTGGGACAAAATTGAAAATGCAAGATGAGTTTGGTGCTTTGGAAAGTGTACAAGCTGCCAGGGAACTCTGTGTTCCTTCATCACAAGAAAATTAATGAAGCACTTGCAGAAAATCCAGGGCTGTCAACAAACCCCTTTATCAGCTTGCTAGCTGATAACGATGATACTGAGTAACCTTTCAGAACTAGATGCCTAGTAAGTGCAGAATATGAGAAATACATTAAAAAATACATAAAATCTGTAAGCCTACTGTAAGCCTACTGTAAGCAGGTGCCTAAATAAACTGGTGTGAAATCACCTATTCCAGCATAGCTGTCTGAAGTTAGTGGGGGACAGAAGGGTTAAAGGAACTGTTTTCAGGAATATCAATGGGAAAGAAACTACTCTCAACACTGCTCCTGGAAGAAAATTCTTCCCTTCCTAACAATTTCAGATAAACAAAATATATACCTTTAAAAAAAAACACCTTTTGAGTTTTAGAGCAAACTCTAAGCAAATTCAGAATTCATGAAATGATCCATAATCAAAACTCCCTTTAAAAATCATGCGATTCAAAGATAACCCTGTTATCCTTATATAATTTTGCAACTTGCTCAAATCCATTCCTAGATTTGGTTCAAAATACTTAATGATCTTCGGATTAGAAATACTTAGGAATGGAGGAACGTGTTGGTTGTACAGCGTCAGATGAAGAACAATACTATCTTAATTGTACAATATGCTGCATTCGCTGGTGCTATTTTTACACAATGAAGAAACCGCTTTGCAGTAAAATAAGAACCAAATAAAATATTCAGCCTCTTCATTTTAAAAGAAAGATCCCTTTGTGTTTGGTGAAGAGCTTAAGGGACAGGTAGCCTTAGGGAAACAGCAAGCTTGGCTTTCATTCAAAAATCAGGAAGAGCCAGGGAGGAACGTCCCTAGCTGGTACCACAGCCTGGTCCATGATTCTGGCCCAAGGGCAGGCTTGTCATATGAACATATTTCAGGGAGGGTATTTCAGAAGGAATCCCTGTGTCCCCTCTTTTCTCCAGCCCTGGACTCTGCAGAGAGAGAGACAGATTAATTCCAGAACATTCCATTCCATAAAAGACTGTTCATTGACCTGTCAGAGAAAACCCCCTTTAAGCCACTTCCCCTCTGGATCCTCTTTTCTTTAGTGTGCCCCTGAAAATCTCACCCTCTGACTGTAAAATGAAATCAAGCCATTATTTATTTACAACTCACCCATCCCAAAGTGAAGAAATGGTACAGACAGTTTGGCTGGTCTCTGTAATTCTTAGAATCACACTTAAATTCCTAACAAACTACTGTACACCCAATCGGGGTGAGTCTCAGATGCATTATGCTAAGGGAAGTGGTTCAGACTCAAAAGGCTACCTACTGTGGTTCCATTTATATGACATTCTATGCCAAGTAAAACCCAGGTAGGGTGGGGTAGGGGGACAGAAACAGTGGTTGCTAGAGCCTGGGGCAGGGGTGTCCAGAGGGGATATGAGGGAGTTGTTTGAGGTGATGGACTTATGACATGTCACGTTTGTGATGCCAGTGACATGATTCTTTGCTTTCATCAATACTCAGAACTGTGCCCTAATAGGTCAAATTCTACCTCCACGCAGATTAGACCTGGCTTTAAAAAAAATAAACTCCTATAATAATGACATCAGCGAGCCTGTTCTGAAATAAATAAGACAAACCTCGAGGAGCTATCAGCCTACGTGAACTCTCCACTAACCTTTGAAGGTGGCAATTGGAACTCCATGTCCATAAAGTCAAATATGTCAAAGACAGGACCAGTGGTTCTTGCAGAAGATGCCACATGGGGAAGGGGGTCCGACCATGGAGCCGCAGCTGGCTCACTCCGCCTTTCCTTCAGGGATTCAACAGTGTTCCTTCGCTGTTCCTCAGGGGCAGGCACGAGCTGGGCCAGGTGGACGCTGCTGTAGAGCAAGATGGTGCTGCTGCCCATGAAGGGCACATCCTCTGGTGCTCCTGGGAAGGGGCAGACTTGCTGCAGAGACGTAAAGAAACAGTAACAGGGCAGGGAGAGGACTCGGGCCTGAGTGTGTCAGCCAACCAGGGAGGGTGAGGAATCTGAGGACCTTCCTGGAGGAGAAAGACTGTAGGGTGATGGAGGCCAGGGCTAGGGGGCGCTGAGGGTAGAGAATAAGACCCAGTTCCCACCCCGTCCCCCCTGTTATCTGCTCCCAACACCCATCACTTCTGTGACCCCAAAAGATGTGGGGAGGGAAGGAACAAGCAATGGATTCCGTAGAGGCCACCTGCTCGGCAGCCTCCAATTCAATTCAATTCTGACACTCTCTGCCTGGAGAGTATTGGATCCCACAGGATGAAGGCTAGTCCCACCAGACTGTCCCCACTTTAGACACCGGTATAGCAAGCTGTGGGCTCTGGACCTTCTGACCAGCTAGCAACCAATTCAGGTTCCCAGGAACACTTCCTTGGGTTTGATTAATCTGCTTAAGGCTTACAGGACTCAGGGAAATCTATTTACAGGTGTATTATAAAGGACATCACAGAGAATACAGATGAAGAGATTCACAGGGCAGAATGGGAAAGGGTACAGAGTTCCCATGCTCTACGGCCTCATAAGAGTTCCTCTCTGGGTGCCCTCCAGTGCCCTCTAGGAATTTCCTCATGGCCAGCTAAAGGCAGAAAGGTGGGGTAGATTAGTGTTTTTATGACTCACTTTGGGGGAGAGAAATTCAAGTTTCTGAGTCTGCCTTGGGAGGGAGCTGTGGACCAAACAAAACAAACAAACAAACAAACAAAATGTGTGTGTGTGTGTGTGTATTAATATCACAAGACTCTTCTGCTTGCCTCCTTCCTTCAGCCAGTTTGAGGACCTGCTCTGCAGAAACACAGGCCGTACGGTGGGGGGACAGCCAATATAATTTGGGGCCCTCAGCAGGTTTTAGAATTTAATAAACCTTTGATCAACAAATGAAGAGATTTCTGATCAAAAAAAACAAAAGGTCCTGGGTGCTTGGGCTTCCTGATTTCATCAGCTTTAACCTGAGTCTCTGATACTTTTTACATCAGTAAAAAGGAAAATTCTGGTGCCAAACAGGGAACTAAAACAGCAAGTGACGTGACTGTCCCTAGCCTCTCCCGTTAGATCCCGTCAGTCCTAACTTTCGCTCCCACATGGTCTGAGTTCTCTGTTCTTCCATCAGGGAGATTGTTCCAGAGGATCCAAGTGGATGTTCTCACACTTCACTGTTGGGTCAACTTGCTAAATTACATAGAAAACAATTTCTTTTTTTTTTGGGGGGGGGGCGGTAGACAATACTGGGAATTGACCCAGGGACACTCTACCACTAAACTATATCCTCAGCCCTTTTTATTTTTTATTTTGAGTCAAGGTCTCATTAAGTTGCAGAAGCTGATCTCAAACTTGAGATCCTCCTGCCTCAGCCTCTGAGTCACCGGGATGACAGGTGTGCACCAATGCACCAAGCATACCAGCATAGGAAACAATTCCTAAATTGCCTGGGCATATTTTCGTATCTATGCCAATCCATCTATGTCATCACCATATGCAATAGGAAGAGACTCCATCCCACAGCACAAATCACTAGGCATTGGCCATAACAGCAAAGAAATCTGTTCCTAACAGATACTTTGTAGGATCCCCAGATTCCCCTGGGCCAACAGAGCTGTGACCACTCCGTCCCTTAGGCTGTTTCCATATACCATTTACCTATACCCATTACGAAGATGGCCGTTCCATTCTCAGAGGGCCTGGTGTCTGGGTTTTGGGCAGCATTAATTATAAACATCAGCACCAAAGCTACTGCTCAATTTCAAATATGTGACTATTTCTGAGATTTAGCCTCTGGGTAAATGAAATTTCAGTGTTTCATCATTACTCTGTTGATGACAGTAATGAACTTGGGAATGACTCCTATTTATCCATCTTCTTACTAGATGTGGGCAGACGTATTGTGCTTAATTACATCAAGTAGGGTGGGAAATCATTCCTTCCAAAATAGTGATAACCTGGATCCCTTTCCACACAGGAGAACCATATGGCCTCATAAGATTCCCAAACTCAAGCCTTGGAGCCCCACAAAGCAGGCCCAGCCACTCTAACTGGACTTCTGTTCGCTAATATTTCTTCAAGATCAATAGGAAAGGAGCAAGAATGAAGGGGATCCCCAAAAGGACCCTGTTTCCATGGGAGGGCAAACGGAAGGGGCATGGGAGGACATCTGCAAACAGCTGGTCAATGGAAGGGGGTCTACCACGCAGCCTGCGCAGTGGTTTCATTAATGAGGTTCTAGGCATAAAGTTAGTTAGACGAGATCGAAATAAAAACACAAGACTCAATTACCTTAATTCTATTGCTAGGTCCGAGACGGCTCCCCTCTCTGGTTCGCTCCTCTAGCCGCCCAGCAGGGCAGCAAGGATTACTCAGGGCTAGCAGGAGAGAGAGAGCGAGCACGCCGGGGAGTAGCCTTTTATTAGGGAACCAGAGATTCAGGGGAGAATTCCATCCAATGAAGGTTGAGGGGGGGGCTGCACTCCAAGGTCAGGGTCAGCGATTGGGTCCCCGGGGTCAGTGGTCAGGCACACCCCCACACGGATGGGCTCTCTCATCAGGAGAGGGACGGGAAAAACTTCGACTTATGCCAAAGTGCCTCAGACCCTCAACGGGAGGCACCCGATCACGTGTGAGAATGGCTCCCAACAAGGGGGACTCTGTCTTTCAGGGTTATCTGTCAGAGGGGTTGGTGACGAAGTGGTACCGCTCTCCACGACTGCTCCTGTCCCCCAACAACTACACAAAAGCCATCGACATGTGGGCGGCCGGCTGCATCCTGGCCGAGATGCTCACGGGGAGAATGCTCTTTGCTGGTAAGTTGCTAACTGCCATCTGCTKCTCTTCTAATGTCTTTCATTGAAAAGGGAAACTGAGTGCAAACACTTGCTTATCCCAAAACATGCTCCCTTTCTGCTGCAACGACTTCTTAGGCTTTTATGGCACTTCTTGGAGGCACCCTATTATAATTCCAGGCAACACTATAAAGACTAAAATTAGCCTCTTGAGCACAGAACCTTAGTTGAGAAACCATTTTACTATGGTCTGAATGTGTGAGTCCCCCCTAACATCCTATGTGGAAATCCTGTCTTAATCTCCCGCCGTGATGTGGTGGCATTAAGAGGTGGGACTTTAGGGAGGCAAAACCCTCATGAATGGGATTAGTGCCTTTCTAAAAGGGACCCCAGAGATGTCCCTCTACCTTCTATCATATAAGGATGCAGCAAGAGGGCACCATCCAAGAGAGGGTCACCTAGGACGATTAGGACATAAACCTCCACATGGACTTATTTCATCAGCTTCTCCCAGAGACGGTCCCTGTCCCCCAGCTCCCAGGAGGCAAGGGAAGCCGAGATTGATTAAACACCCACTCCAAGTGGGAGCCTCCATGCTGTCAGATTGGTCAGTCCATGTGTAGGGACTCCTCCTCATTCCACAAAGGAAGGAAATCAGAGAAGGTGAGGGCCGGGTCTGCCTCTGGGCATCTGCCACCAAAGCCCCTGCTTTCTGCCCATCGTGCAGCTTACTGGACTCCACTGGCTGCCTCCAACATGACACCATTGATCCCTGGCAGGAACAGACAACTGAGGGGCTAGTTCTCTACCCTCTCACCATGTTGTTGAACAAGTGACCCCAAGCACCAGGCTGCAATCCCTGCTCTGTGTGTCACAGAGAAGCAGGTTGGGTTCTATGAGCAAGAACCAGGATCCTCTGTCTGCAGCTTGACCTTGTGGTCCCTTGGCAAGTAGTCTGGAGTGTTCATTTGAAAAAGGGACCCATAAAGGCCTCCCAGAGTCCCTGAACTGGCCTTCCAAGAATGAGCCCATTTTAGGGAGAGGCCAAAGGGCCCCTTGGGGTGGACCCTGAGGCTGCAGACACTTGCTCAGCATGCAGCCACAGTATTTGAACATGCTTAGTACCACACAGGGCATCCTGAGGGACATGAGAAAATCCCTACTGTAGACCACCAGCTTCCGGAAGATGGGGATTTCCATAGTAACCTGTGGGCAGGGGAGGCCCTCTATAGGTGCTGGTCAATGAGGCTTCTTGAGAAAGGAGAGGCAAGACTGAGGACTGAATCCAGCAGAGCTGAGTGGAAAGGCCACTCGGGCTAAAAAAGAAAAAATGGAAGTGAGAACAGTCTGGGGTCAGAAGAGGACAGCAGGGAGACAGCCCTGACCAGCACCAGCAATGGAGCACAGATGCCCTCAGTGGTCACCTGGAAGACGAGCTGAGTTGCTGAGACACACAGACTGAAGCTCCTGATGGACCAGAACTCTCTTGCTCATTCCAGCATGGCCACAGGACAAAGCACTCGACACACACTTAAGAATGATGGAACTTAAAGGTTCCATCCTGTCCTGCCTCACTGCTCCCACAGAACCGGAGTAACTCGTTGGCCTCCCTGTGCCCAAGGAGCAGAGATGGTGTGCTCATGGAGCATTCCAAACTCAGTAGACTGTTCCTGATGTTCTTCCTCTTGAGTATTTTCTGGGTGGAATCCTCCTAATCAGAAACTACATTAATACTGTTTCCTCCCCCAGCCTGGTAGGAAGTGTGCAAGAGGAGGAACACTTGAGAAGCCAGGGCCAGGCTGCTGTCCTCATTAGCACTGGCCAGCTCAGTGTACATCAGACTGGCCGCTCCAGGCACAGAATCACAGGGGACTGGCTGGGGCCTGGGGGACTACCAAATTCAACCAATTCTTTCTATATTAACAAAACCAAGATGGCAAACAACCTGCAACAGTCACAGAGGAAGTTAGTGGCAACGTGAAAACAAGAACCCAGGTGCCCTAACGCCCAGCCCAGTGCCATCCCACAGCCCTGTGTTCTCCCTCCCAGGCCAGCCAGAGCCGCTGCGGGGCTTCTACACATGCAGCCACGTCTAACCATCTGGTGTTTGCCTCCCCAGGGGCTCATGAGCTGGAGCAGATGCAGCTCATCCTGGAGACCATCCCTGTGATCCGGGAAGAAGACAAGGAGGAGCTGCTCAGGGTGATGCCCGCCTTTGTCAACAGCACCTGGGAGGTGAAGCGGCCCCTGCGCAAGTTACTCCCCGAAGTGAACAGTGAAGGTACCTGCACCTGACCCCAGGCCCGCACCCCAAGGGGCAGAGTACTGGCTTCACCCTGAGGGCTGGGTGTAGACGGGTCTCCCAGAGAGCAGAGTACAGTCCTGGGTATGGGGTCAAGGTTCCCTTGGCAGTGGGCATTGACCTTCAATACGGGTTGAGAATCCCTAGTCTGAAAACCCAAAATCCATCGTGTTGGTGCCCCAAAAGTTTCAGATTGTGGAGCATTTCTGATTTCTGATTTTCAAATTAGGGATTTTCAACTGGTAACTTCTATGCAGATATTCCAAAATCGGAACAAATCTGCAGTCTGAAGCTCTACTGCTCCAAGCATTTCAGACAAGAGCTGCGTGTCCTGTTCTTCCAGGTCGTGGGCTACCACCCCTGGAGCTCAGCCCTAGCTGCCTTGGGGCATTTATTAGTGGCCTCCGTGTTCCACCCTGATTTTGCTTCCTGTTCCCTCTCATCATTCTTGTTTGCCTTCTTGCCTCTCTTCCTGTGTCCCCCTTACCTTTTTCCCATGGAAGGCAGATTGTGGTGAAGAGAACAGGAGGGCCAGACCCAGGTTCAGTCCTCAGTTCTCAAGTGACTGGGTGGCTTTGGGCAAATTGCTCCCTGTGCTATGCATTTGAGGCCCTACAGAACTGGGACGAAGCCAAAGATCAGCCTGGCTGTACTCTCAGAGACTCACAGGACTCGGTCTAGGTGACAGGATCCCTCAGCTGCCCAAAAGGCCATCAATGACAGATGCAGGACAAAAGAGACAGGCCCAAGGCCAAACCAAGGATGCCCAATTTTGAGCTCTAATTAAAACAAGTAAATATACCAAAAGGGACAAAACTGATAAAGACAGTTGGCATACGGAACAGGTAAAAGGGGTGCTCTGGATGAGGCAGGGGGAGAGGCTCAGGGTCCTACGATCTTGCCTCTCAACCTCTAGAAGTGCTCTTAGAAATCCTTCCAGAATACGTAGTCTGAGGAGCCTAGCTTGGAATAACTGGGCCAGAGGAAGGTGACAGATTGTACGCAAGCTTCATTATATAAGAAATGCCTTAAAAACATTGGGGGAGGTTAATTTCAGCTTGGCTTTGCCAAGGACCAAGCTGTCAGTACATGGCATACCAGGTCTCCCTAGGTGGCCACCTGCAGCCAAAGCCAAGACTTCTGCAGGAGAGTCGGGCTTAAAGTGGGGTACATCACTGCTGCCACACCCCCTTGGCCCAGGTCCTTCTGCCATCGCTCACTGCAGGAGGGGCTAGGAAAGGCAGGCAGAACTTGCTTGTTCAGGGGAACCAGTGAAGGCAGAGCTGGGCCCAGGGCTGAAAGTTAAAGGGGACAGATCCAGGTCCGATGGAAGGAAGAGTTTTCTACTATCTTGGGATTTCCAGAAGTGTCTGGGCAGCAACTGGAAGATGAGCTGTCAGGGAGAGGGAAGAGAAGAATTTCATCCCAGAGAGTAGAGCAGCCTTGGGGGCCAGCACTTTCCAGCTCCAGGGTTCACTTGTCTTTCTCAGTGAGAATGACAATGGCAATGCTGCTACCAGTGTTAAGAGCTTGAATTCTCTATTGTCTTGTCAAAAGGTCCAGGGCCCCGAGAGAGGGGCCAGAGGCCCAAGGAGGGAAAGACTTGCCCAGCCCTGCTGCTGGGCCCTGCCCTGCCTAACCCTTCCAGTCCTAAGAATGTATTAGGTGGATCCTATTCCAGGTCTGCAGCCCCAGACCCAGAAGCCCCCTCTAGTACCAGGAAGCGATCAGTTACTGCTGCTTACCTCATCTCTCTGCCAATGAGTGCCCAGTGACTCTCTGTCCTCCTGGGAGGCTAGTCACCTTCTGAATGTATTCATTGATGACTTTTTCTGCAAAGAGATCCAGGGCGGGCATGAGGGCAGGTTAATGGAATGGGCTGAAGCCCACCCTGGATCCCTTGGAGGGACTGACAGCTCAGGCTTGGAGCTCAGCTCCATTTCCCCCTCAGAACAGGAGTGGCCAAGTCATGGTTTCAGCTGATCCCGCAGAGACTCCAGCGCTGAGGAGGACCACAAACCTCTAAGACAGGCCTTGCCCTGAGATGACCAGGGCAGAGCTCACAGGACAGAGTGGCCACTGCCCCTCTCAGCATGACAGCTGTGCCTATGTGCAGGACTGCACCCTGACACCCCGTGGCCTGGGGCACTCTGGCCACACTGCCATACCGGTTGGCAAACAACCACTGCCCAAGGCCTCTGAGTGTCCTGTTGACAGGTTCCCACAGCCTAGAACTCCCCTTGATCAGCCACTGAAGGGTCACTGCCTGGCCCAGAGGGGAGCTGCAGCCTGGTTGTTCAATATTTTGAACGTCAATCAAGCCACCGACCTACCTTTGTTCCTCAAACTTCCAGGGGCCAAATATGGTGCAAAGAGCCCTGGCCTTAGAGGAGGCCCTGGCCCTCCTTCCCCTCTACATTCTTCTTTTTTAGTGGGACCAGGGGGTGGGGGGTGCTGGGGATTGCACTCAGGGACACTCAACCACTGAGCCACATCCCTAGCCTTATTTTGTATTTTATTTAGAGACAGGGTCTCACTGAATTGCTTAGCACCTCACTTTGCTGAAGACGGCTTTGAACTTGTGATCCTCCTGCATCAGCCTCCCGAGCCACTGGGATTACAGGCGTGTGCCACCGTGCCCGGCACATTCCCCTTTCTTGCTAAGGCTCCCCACCCCCTGCAGCACCTCCGCCCTCCCCCCAGCAGCCCTCAGCCCGGAAGGGGTGGGTGTGACTACCCCAGTTTCCCTGCCCCTCAAGGGCCACTTGTGAGGTGTGTCCCACACTCTCTCCAGGTGAATCCCAGTGGCACTGAGCCCCTGGTGACCCAGGAGTGACTGCTCAGCAGCATACCTTATCCTGGATGCTCTCCCACGGCCCCAACCTGTGCTTCCTGGAATCCCCCACAGAGCAACTGCCAGGCCCCCATCCCTGGCTCTGAGAAGCCAGTGCAGGACAGGCTAGCCACCTCATCACTCTGGTTCTCTTCATTCATATACAAAGTCGCATGCTGAGGGGTCTCCTTCTCAGCTTGGCAGGGGCAATGTGTGACTTTTGTGTCCTGCTTTGCTCCCCACAGCCATCGACTTTCTAGAGAAGATCCTGACCTTTAACCCCATGGATCGCCTAACGGCTGAGATGGGGCTGCAGCACCCTTACATGAGCCCGTACTCCTGTCCTGAGGACGAACCCATCTCCCAACACCCCTTCCGCATTGAGGATGAGATTGATGACATCGTGCTGATGGCTGCCAATCAGAGTCAGCTCTCCAACTGGGACAGGTGGGTTCCGGAGGCTTCTTGCCCTGTTGTCTAGAGCCATGTTCCCCTGTCCTCTCATTTCCATTTTGTCTCTCATCCTCTATGACCTTTTCCCCTGTCTCTGGCCCATCGTGTGCTTCCCCCAGCCCACCGCCTGCCTTTCTCTTGTCCCCAGACACTCCTAGTTAATGACCAGAGGTGTGCTGCCTGTGTAGGTCAGGGGATGCTTTTGTGCAACACGGCCACCCTGAGCTCCTCAGCACCCTGAGTCTACTGAACGTGGGTTCAGTATGCACGGTGGGCCCTGAGTGAGTACTCGATGGAGGATCTCACTCCTTGCAGGCTGGGAGTTCACCCTTGAGAAGCCAAAGGGAACAGGAAAAGAAGTACACAAGACAACTCAGAATTTACAACTGCAGACGCTTGCTCATGTTTTCTGTCATCTACACCCCCTGAGAGTGCCATTAAAGGAGGCTGCATTGCCCGTAAGGAAGCCTCAGCTCAGAGAGGTTGGGACTGGTGTTCTGTCACACAAGTCATATGTGTGGGGCCTCCCCAGTCTGCCTCCCTGTCAGTGTACTGCAAAGCAATCATAGAACTCTTTCCTACTAAACTGGGCTTGGCCTCAGGATCCTTCACAAGTATCCCCTGAAGCCACTACCAATGAATCAGGGTTGGGTAGAAGATAACATTTCTAAACAATTTCTGCCTGGGCACATAATGATCTCATAGATCCTTCCCTGTTCTGACGTTCTTAGATCAGACAGCCACACGCTCGGGCTTTGCCATCTGCTCACTCCAGGAGGCGGGGCCCATAGCTGCTCAGTTTAGAAACAGCAGTGGAGGCTCAACAGCTCGGGCTCCGAGGGGACCTAACTGGGAGTCCCGCTGCCATGGGAATGTGACAGCTAGTTATATAAGTGACAGATGAGCAATTCCTCCTTTTTAGTCATTTGACAGATGATGGGTTTCAGAATAAGGAGGCACAGAGGGAGGGCCAGGCCAATGCTGCTATTCTGGGACAGGTCTGCTGGTTTGTTGTTGTTGTCAATTGTTGTTTTCAAGTGTTGCCAGAAAATAGAGATTAATGAAGGTTCTCTCATCTGCCACCCCCAAGCTGGGCCTGCCCTGGACTATGTTCCCTGCAGCCCCTCCCCTCCACTCCACAGAATTTGAGGGCATAAACAGTGGCTTGTAAAGACTCATGCTACTTGTAAGGTGGCTATGGCCAGGGCCAAAGTCAGAGAAAACTGTAGCAGGGATCCTAGGCCACTGTCCATCATCTGACCAACACTAAACTGGGTACACCTATGCTCCCAAACTTCCCCATCACACTTGCATGAAGGAAAAGGATGGCAAAGGTTGTGACAAGTGCCTTGCTCCAGGCCTGCTCCTGTGAGCACTGCTTCACCTCTTGGCTTGCTAGTTTCCTCTCCTGTAAAGCAGCGGTGACACTAAGTCTGAAGGGTTGCTGTGAAGACTAGAGATAATGGATGTTTGGTACTTGGTGTGTAGCAGCCAAAGGCCGGGTCTTCGTATGCTCTTCCTTCTAGAGATCTCTGTAATTCCGAGACCACTCAAGGGAGGAGGCAGTTCCAAGATCTAGGAGTGATTACTGCCCTATGTGTCAGGGGGAGGAGAGCAGTAGTAAGTCCTTCCCACGCCTCTCTAACCACTCTCCGTGAACTGCGGCTGCCTGGCCTGCCCCTTCACACATTCACCCTTCTTGTCCTTGGCTTATCTAATTGTCCTGTGTGAGTACCAGATAAACTGCTCAGGAAGCAGCTGGCCAGGGGCTGCTGCCTCCTGGGTGCTTCCTGACTCCCCTCACCCCACCCTGGCTCTGTACAGAGCACCTGACCAAAGGAGGGAGAGCTGACACCTGTCTGCTTGCACGTCTGCCCTTGGTTTGCTCTCGGCCATTCCATGGCTGCAGCACAGTTGGCAGAGGGCAGAATTCTAAGGACCATTTTGGCCTCTCCTGATAGTGTGGTGATCTTTCCGTAGGTCACATCTGCTCTAGTCAATGCACGAGCTTCAAGGCCCCCATCCAGATCCACAATGCCAGGGGCTCTCAGCCCTATGGCTTAGACACCCCTGTAAAATTTCAGAAAGTTTTACAAACTTGCTGAAGCAGGACCCACCCACCCTAGAGCTACTGGATCAATGAGGCAGGCCTGATACCGTATTAATTCCCCTATTTGATTCTGATGTGAGCAAGGACTCATTAAGTCCTTGCTATTCAAAGTGTGATCTAAGAAGCAGCAGCAGCAGCAACAAGAGGGCGCCTGTCAGAAATGCAGAATCCCAGGCCCCACCTTGGAGCCGTTGAACCAAAGCCTACATTTAAATAAGATCCCCAGGTGATTTGTATGCATATTAAAGTTTGAAGATTGCCATTAAAAAATAAAATAAAATTATGGTATTAGCCAGTAAGTGGATGGAAATGGATAACATCATTCTAAGTGAAATCCATACTCAGAAACTCAAAGGTCAAATGTTTTCTCTCATAGGCAGAAGCTAGAGTAAAAGAAGGGAAACAGGGAGGGAAGGATAGGATAATATAAAGAACCAACCAAATAGAAATTAATAAACAAGCCAGTGGGAGTCAAGTAGAGGAAGGAGAATGGGAGAGGGGAGGAGGGGAGAGAAAAGGGGAGGGATCATGAACTGAAATTGATTTCCATGCATGTATAACCATAAAGCTTTAATAAAAAAGAAAAAAGTGTGAGGGTCATTATTTAGGAGGATCCATTAGAAAGTTCCATGAGGACAGGGATTTGATTTGTTTACAGCAGTATCCAGTAATGTCTGGAGCCAGTAAGTGGTTGGAAATGGATAATATCATTAAATAAGCCATATTCAGAAACAGCATCTATAGTGGGAGCTCAAGAATATTGGTAGGGCTGTGAATGAATTCAAGGTTAAGTTGAACAACCATTCCCCCTAGCTGAGCCCTTCTAGACCCATCTGTACCTGCGCCACCACCTTCCCACCAGGGGGATGCGAGGGCCCGGCAGGAGGGTCTGGGGGCGGAGCGGATGGAAAGCAGGCTTGCAAATGGCAGGCAGGGATTAGGTTCCCTCCCGGAAGCCATCCCGCCTGGGTGTCCCATCACCGCTTTGTGTGCACCCTTGCAGGTACCCGGTGAGTCTGTCCTCAGATCTGGAGTGGCGGCCCGATCGACGCCAGGACTCCAGCGAGGTGCAGCGCGACCCGCGCGCTGGGTCGGCGCCGCTGGCAGAGGACGTGCAGGTGGACCCGCGCAAGGACTCCCAGAGCAGTTCCGAGCGCTTCCTGGAGCAGTCTCACTCGTCCATGGAGCGCGCCTTCGAGACGGACTACGGGCGTTCCTGCGACTACAAGGTGGGGTCGCCGTCCTACCTGGACAAGCTGCTGTGGCGCGACAACAAGCCGCATCACTACTCGGAGCCCAAGCTCATCCTGGACCTGTCACACTGGAAGCAAGCAGCCGGCGCGCCCCCTATGGCCGGGGTGGCAGCGGACGCGGTGGCACACGAGGACGAGCCCGCCAGCCTCTTCCTGGAGATCGCGCAGTGGGTCAAGAGCACGCAGGGCGGCCTGGATCGCGCCAGCCCGCCCCCAGACGGACCAGAGCGCCGCCTGTCCTCCACTCCCCCGGAGAGCCAGACCCCGGTAGACCGGGGCGCCAGCCCTCAGTTTGACCTGGACGTGTTTATCTCCCGCGCCCTGAAGCTCTGCACCAAGCCCGAGGATCTGCCTGACAATAAATTGGGCGATCTCAACGGCGCATGCATCTCTGAGCACCCAGGAGACCTTGTGCAGACCGAGGCCTTCTCCAAAGAAAGGTGGTGAGGCCAGAGCGGAAGATCTAGGCCTCAGCCACTGGAGAGGGAGGCCACCCCAGAGAAGCCGGCATGGCAGGAGGCCACCTCCCTGGCACCTCTGCCACCCTTTCCGCCCCTCTCTGCTGCCTTGGAGTCAGCAGAACACATGAAGGATCCGAGGAGCGAGAGGAATGTCTATTTCTTAAACTGCCTTAATAACTAGCCTTTAACCTCTGGGAGAGGGTTGATCAGGAGCCTGGCTGAGAGGGAGGCCTGGTTTTAGAAGTGGTGGAGGCAGGGAAGAAGCACCTCTTAGACAGGAGTCTGCAGTCCCTACATGGGTGGTAGGGTGCAGAGGCAGCTTGCAGACTTAGTTTTGAAGCCATCTGGTCCACCTAGCCTCAACCAATAACTGAGGACAACACTTAGGCCCAGAGAAGCAAAATTACTTGCTTAGGACCACAGGCCTCCTCAGTCTTAGGGTGAGCCTTGAATCCCAGTCTCCTGGCCCCCAGGTCAGTGTCTGTCCACAATATCATGTCTTCCTCTTCTGGGATCACTCTGACTTTTTGGTAAGAAAACTTAGTCCAAGATGTTTCTTCCCAGTCCATCACCATCTGACCCATGCAATGTTCTTTCTTTCAGAACATTGTTTCTTGTATACTGAAATTTGAAATGGAACTAGTTCTTTCTCCTAGTCGCCAAGCATTTTTTTTTTTTCTGGCTCTCCAAGTAGTTAAATGTTCTCATCTGCCACCCTGCTGCATTTGCCTCCTCCCTGCATGGTCTGAAATCTTTGTTTCAGATTAGAGCAGTTTGAGGCCTGACTCAGTCACTCTCCCAGGCCTGTGCATCTGCCTCCTCCAGCAGCCCTATGCACTTTCCTGACATGCGCAAAGACACAGCCCTCATTCCCCAATGGATGTCGTACACGGGTGAGTTTGAAGAAAGCAATTCCAAGAATCCCTCCAATCCACCCCACAGTCCCCCACCACCCCTGCCCACATACACACAGCCCCTCTCCAGCCTACCTCGGGACCAAATGTTCTTGGCACAAATTGCTCCTTTGGAGGAAAGCAGTGAGGTGCCTGCCATAGATCAGAGGGTTTAGGATGGAAGGTTCACATGGGACCTGTCATCCTTCATTAACATTGTCTTGATTGTGATCATCCATTTAGCTTTGGCTAAGAGAAAGCCCTGAAGAAGTGCACTGGAGGGCTAGCAACCTTGGAGCAAGGAGCCCAGAAAGGTACGAAGATGTATAAGGAAGGGTGCCAACTTCAAGGGCCCTCAGGGGTATGTATCAGCATGGATGGAGACCCCACAATAAAGAAAGGGACTCAACACTGCCATGCCCTCATACCTCCTCTTAGCCTAAGATGGACCACACAGGCCCTCTACAGAAGCATGTGGTGGGGACAGTTACCCCAGTCCGGTCCCTGGAATACTCTACCATTTCTACCACTGGTGTCCATCTCTTCCCTTCCCCACAATACCCCAAAGATACCTACAGGAAGACTAGTCAGTCTGTAGGGAGAGGATCCCCCAGTGTTGGGCCTGGACTGTGTTCCCCCTCCCTTCACAGCACCTTAAATCTAATCAGCAAACTATGATTTGTGAATTAAAACTTGCAACACATTAGAAAATTATATTTAAAAATAAAATTAATCACACTGATGAGTTTGATGAGTTTTTAAATGGAAAAAATGTAAATATGAAGTATTTAGGTTTTGCTTTTTTTTTTTCTTTTAAGAAAAGAAAATGTACACCTCTCCTCATGTGCCATTTTGTTCTCAGAGGGCGGCTTTACTTTTTGGGAAAAGGAATAAGCTGCTGACCTTGACCAGGAGTTCATATATAATTATTATTACAGAGGAATTGTTATAACTACTCATATTTTAAGAAAATCTGTTAAACATTATTGAACTTGATCAGAATGGGCCAAATAAAGTTTTACTGGAACACAGATTCATCATGTGTGATTACATTCATTTATGTCTTATCTGCCTGGTCTTTGACAGTGATTGATTCACTTGGGGCTAGCTAACTTCTCCCTGCATCATGAAGTTCCGTCTTTTGAAGGGTTGAAGATGCGGGATCTGGGAGAGGAGAATCTACACAAACTGGTAACCAGGAAGTGATTTCAGAACCCTATGGTGATGCATGGCATCCATGCTGTGGGTTTCTAGGCACATCTTGGAGTCAATGCCAAACCTTCTGATGAGGGCTGGTCCTTTCCTCTAGGCATAAAAGGTGCAAAAACCATAAGATGTGAGAGAACCAGCTGCCCAGAAACACCTGCCTGAGCCACACCTCACAGGTGCCTAAGATACCACCCATCTGAAGTTGCTCCCTCTATAATACTTATGTCAAAACATTTGCTCTAACTTCATTCATTATTAATATGTATAGACAATAGAGTTAAAGAATTTTGGTTTTGTTCTTTGTAACTTCCCTGAAAGGCCTTTTGGTTAAAACACTCCTATTGAAATGTATCTGAGCCAAGAACAGTTTGTTCAAATCCTCTTCAAAGCATCAACTGAGAGTATTCCCACTTTATCCACTGTTTCAATTTCTGAGTTACCCACAGTCGACTGCAGTCTGAAAATATTACATAAAAAATTCCAGAAATAATTCACTAGTTTAACATTTCACGCCATGATGACATTTCATGAAGTCCTGCCTGGGACAGGAATCGTTCCTTTGTCCCATGTATCCACTCTGTATATACTACCCACTCATTAGTCACTTAGTTGTCATCTCAGTTATCAAATCAACTGTCAATGTATCCAGTGCTTATAAACAGGGCTGGATACTATCCATAGTTTCAGGTATCCACTGGGGCATCTTTAAAGGCATCCCCCCTTGGATAAAGGGAGACCACTGTAACTATCTGCTAGTGGAGAAGAGTAAAGATAGAGGCCCAGGATCTACTTCCGGAATGTTCATTTTTCAAACATGGAAACTTCCAGGAAAAGTCTCCAAAAGTACAAGAAGGACCTCAGTCTTAAGCTCATCCTGATAAAAGGAAGAAAAGTTCAGACATTTCAGATAAAACAAAACAAATGGTAATATCACTTTAAACAGTTCTGAAAATCTATTTCTATATTAAACACCTTAACAAAGCAAGAAATTTTAGAGAACTTTGAACTTGTGATGAGAATCAAAGGAAAGAATATGCCAAGGAGAAAAAATGAGGACTCAAAAGAGGAAATCGTTTTTTTAGCCAGTGAAGTGTAAAGAGAAAAACTGAACCCAGTATCACTATAAAACCCAAGCATTTACCGTCATACATTTGTAACATTATGAAATTTCCCGCCATACGTAGAAGTGCCAAACTGTAAAATGATGATGTTTGCCCTGGGTCCTGCATTTATTTGTTTCATCATTCATTTATTCAACCAAGAAATCATTTTGCACCTAACTCCAGATGCCTAAAGATGAATAAGACGCAATCCTTCCTTTTAAAGAATTCTTATTTTAATGCGGAAGAGAGAGACAGAACAAACACTTGCTACCTAACTAACTACATTTTCCAGCATGATGATGGCTATAGTCACCAAATGCTGGAAAACACAATCTACTCCGCTGGACACCTGTTCCATTACACGGTGTGCAGTGGAGGGGAAGATGTAAAAATGTTTTATCGGAGTAGGTGCGCCCTGAGCTGAATTTAAATGGCTGCAGTGTGAATGAATGGAGCTGTGGGAACAATGGCATTGATTTGGCTGGATTTCATTCTTTAGAAATGCTGCGTAGGCAGTGTTATCTACTCTAGCAGAAGGTAATGCTTAAAAAGAATAAAATCTCACCTTGTATCCATAGGATAGTGCAAAGTGGACCTAGGCTATCTAGTGGAAATCAGTTGAATTATAACAGTGCAACATTTCTTCAATATATAATTACAGTGAGAAAACATCTATATGAAGGATAAATAGCAAGTATTTTTGATATTTTGAATTCCAGGTTTAAATCAGCATAATGGAAAGAACGTAGTTTGGGGTCCAAATCATGACTGTCACTTATTAGCTAGTGAATTTGGGCAAATTATTTTACCTGCATAAGCATTAGGCTGTCCTTCTCAAATATGGGGAAATGATGGTGTCTTCTCTATATGATAAAAGGCTTTTGAGGAAATTATTTATAAGGAATAAAGTATGTGCCTACCATAAAACAGACACTCAGAAACTGATAATTATTGTTATTAGCACATTTAACACATTAAGCATTTTAAAAATGTCTAGTGTTAAAAAAAAAAAGGCTCAGAGCAAGGGCAGAGGCCTGGTTGAAGTTTCTATGGGAGAAAGCTTGAGGCTCAATTTTAGACTTAGGCTACCAGAATGTAGGAAGTGGGGGGTGGGGCAAAGGGAACTGGGAGACCCACACAGCAAATAGCACCAAAGAGGACGGAAAACGAATGAGGAGGGTGGAAACCCCGTCCCCCAAGGAAATATGTCACAATTGCATCTATACACCACCAATATTAGGCTTAACACTTCTCTTAAGACGATCCCAGGAGAGTCTGTGCACATCAGAGGAGTCAGCAAACTATTCTCCAAGACAAAGAGCTTAACGGGAACATGGCTACATTCATTCCTTCACATGTTATGTGAGCCTGTCTTTATTTAAAATTTTGATATTTTGTTGTTCATGGATTTTGGGCAGTAATTTTTTTAATTTAAAAATACTGCATTAAAATATTTATCTTGATTACTGAGATTATGGGGCACCCTTAAATTCTGCATCCAAGATGGGTGCCTCACCCACCTCGACCCTTGTCGTCCCTGGTCTGTGGCTGCTTCCATCCCAGAGGGGCAAAGCTGACTAGCTGCAATGGAGACCTCATGGCTCCCAGGCTGAAATATTGAACATCTAACCTTTTGCAGAAAAGGTTTGCTGATCCCCAGTGTAAGAGGCCACGGGGTCTCCACACCATTATGAGTGAGCATGTGGCTGGCCTGGTCTTCTCCAGCCACAAGCATTTCTCTTTAGAAATGTCAGATTTTCATGGGTGATTGTCTTATTTCACATCCTACTTTACTTTCCATCTTTAGGGAAATGTCTTCATTTGCTGGTGAGAAGTTCCTGCTTGGGCTGAGCAGAGGTCACTGCCATGGTCAGAAGCCAGGCTTTGAGCTAGGATGGTTAAAACAGGCAAAAGGAAAGGTTAACTTGGAAGTTGAGATTCTCAGGTGAACTCTCAGGTGAAGCTCCAGGTGGAAGGGGGATGTCAGATGTCCTCACCTGTGTGGTTGAGACCAGGAAACATGTACCCGACAGTACTTTCTCCATGGAGACCAAATCACTGAGAGGAACTTAACCCAGCTAATACCTCCCCAGGAACTAGTCCTGCCTTCGCTTATTCAACAAATATAAATGTGGAGTGTGGGTGGGAAGTGACAGGTCATCCAACCCAATCCCCTTGTTTGGTAGACAGGTAGATTAAAACCCAGGGGAGGATGGTAATTTGCCTAAAGCCACATGGTGGCAGAACCAGAACTGGAACCCACATACTCTTTCCAGAACCAAGCTCATCTTATTCATCCTAACAGGGGTACAGATGCTGGGATTCACAATGGAGGAATGAGATCAGCCCAGAACATGGGAACCTGCA